ACCTCTGATTAACCCCAAAATAAAGCGAGTTACAGTAATCCAAGCGAGATGTTATAAATGCATGTATTGCTGTCTCAAAGTGATTCCTTGGAAGAAATGGTTTTATTTTTGCCAGCCGTTGTAGATGGAAAAAACTAGCCTTTACCACCGCACTTACTTGGCTTTCCAACTTAAGACCCGAGTCAACTTTGAACTCTAGGCTAGTAACAATTGGCTGCGCATACTCCATCAAACAGCCCAAGTCCATTAGCGGGAGCTCACTAACGTTGCTCGGGCTAAGCACTAGTGAAATGAAACACCGTACTTTCTAAAAATACTGCCCAGAGGAAGAAGATATAAGGAGAAGAGCAGCGGCCCTAACACAGAGCCCTGCGGTACCCCAGACGCTATCACTGAGGATGAGGATTCAATATCTGTGAGTTCAACAGACATCGTCCTGCCCGGCAGATACTACCTAAACCACTCCAGGGCACTGCCCCGGATACCCACTAATTGTTCCAGCCACGATATCAAAATATCATGGTCAACCATATCAAAGGCAGCTGTCAAATCCAATAAAACAAGAACCACAAAATTGCCGGCATCAGTTGCCATATAAATATCATTTAAAACCCTCAACAGGGCTGATTCTCTGCTATGTCGGGTTTTAAAACCCGAGTGAAAGACTTCCAGCAAGTTCTGCTCATCTAAAAAGGATTTCAACTGTGTATACACCACCTTTTCTAAAATTTTCGAAATAAAAGACAGCTTAGCGATAGGTCTAAAATTGTTCAAAACAGTTTGATCAAGGCCTGGCTTCTTAATCAGAGGTTGAACAACATACCCTGAATGTTATCACTACCCTTAACCTGCTGTCAGCCACAGCGTCATTCCAATCATTACATAAAACAGTTCTCGTATTCACCACTATTACATGAAAAGGTCAGATGGACCTCACTGGCTCCTAGAAGACATCAGCTGTGTCTATAAGGCATTTCCATCTAAGCTAGTGAAATATTTAACATCCTCGGTTGAGTTCAATATCAAGGTTCTTCGTACCAACTCTGAACCTGGACAGACTGGTTTCCAGTACAGTTTGTGCTGCCGTTGAAGTGCTTTGGATTATAATGGCAGGGTCTTCTATTATTTTGTCCAGCTCATTTATATTGACCAACTTAAGATGAAAAACAGAAGCACCTCTAGGTAAAATGTGGTACAGTTCAGCCACAGCAATACATCTTCCACAGCGATCAAAAAGCTGAATCAATACCGCTCTAAAACAGAAACAACAGAAACTGGACACTGAACTCTAAAGGCGGTATGACGGTGGAACAGAAATAGGAATAATTAGCAGACAATGAATGAATAAATGACTGAATCAACAGTCTGTGACACATTTGGGGGAATTCATGGTACGTATATGTTCAGCACAGTTCTAAAAGGCTTTACCTTTTTAAGCCCGCCTGTCAATCAACCACTCAGTCCTCAGAGACCAGCAGCCAAATCAAGGGAGCACTTGAGAAAATGACAGCTGGGCCACTGGAAACCAAAGGTAATTTCCAATGCATGTTCACTATTCATTTAATCTGCTCCAGAGGCCCGTCAGAGCTCAGGGCAATTATTGTCACCCCCCGCCTCCCCTGGGACCCTGTTGCTTTCTCCCTGCTCCCCCCCTTATTCAGATATTGCCGCTTTCCCCACCCCCCACTGATAGGATGTGATCCGCTGCTCAGTGTAGTTAGAGGGTGTGTGGGCAGCATGACAATATGAAGCATGTTAATCAGGAAAGACATGGAGCGGTGTGTAGATAAGCAACATCCTGTAGCACCAAATCCACAACCTGCTCAGACATATTTAAAGAGAAAGAGATGGTTGTATGTGTCTTTGAATTACTGAGACAAATGTATGAGAAAAACAGGGCATCATGGATCTGTTTTATTGTGAGTGGGAGGTCGGTTCTTATGCGTTTAGTACAGTAGGAAATATGCTCTCAGAAAAATCTATTTCTCATTTGCATCCCTCAGTGAGCTGATGTTTTTGACATGAAGTTCTTTTCAGGTCTTTGAGCTATATCGAACCACCTCATAAAAGGAGGTGGAGCAGAAAATAAAAACACCTTTAACACAAGGAAGTTCTTGTTGTGTTGAATGTTTCATTTCCAGCTGTTTGTTTTGTGCCTGTCTGTACATTGTTGTGGGGCAGACAGGAGGTCAGTTTCACTCGATGACAACTGTCAATAAGCAAAGTCCTGTACCAGGAAATCGCTCTTTGAATTCCTTAGAGAGCAACTTGATTGATGCTGATGACGTAGAAAGCAGCTGGGGTGCATCTCCTCTGGTTGCATCATGCTCTTCCTCGTTTCCCATCATCTTTACTTTATTGCTATCTAATAACAAAAGACATAAAATGCCCATAAACGAAAAAATACACAATGTGCTGTGCTTTAGTGCACTGTGCTGAAATAGCTCAACAGTTAAGTTTTATGATGCTGTAAAAATATTTAGGTGTAAACAGTCACTTCAGAAAGTTTTGCACATTTTATTGTGTTGTTAATTCGAAATGGAGAAAAGCACAGTTTTTGTCTCAATGATACAAAGTGACAAAGTAAAAACATCTTTTTAGAATTTTTTTCCCCCACATGTATTAAAAACAAAAGCTGGGGAGAAAAGAAATGAAATTTACACAAGTATTCAAACTATTGGCATAGTGGTGCAGTGGTTAGTGCTGTCGCCTCATAGCAAGAAGGTTCTGGGTTTGAGCCCGGGCTGACCCAGGACCTTTCTGTGTGGAGTCTTCATGTTCTCCCTGTGCTTGCGTGGGATCACCCTGGGTGCTCCAGCTTCCTCCTACAGTCCAAAGACATGCGACTCTAACTTGCCCGTGTGTGTGGTCTATAAGTGTCAGCCCTGTGATAGACTGGTGACCTGTCCAGGGTGGACCTCGCCTCTTGCCCTATGTCACCTAGGATTGGCCCCCGTGACCCTGTTCAGGAATAAGCTGTATAGATAATGGATGGATGGATTCAAACTCTTTGCTTTGGCTCCAAACTGTGCTCAGGTGCACCCAGTTTGCTTTAATTATCACTGAGATGTGTCTCTAACCTGACTGAGTCCACCTGAGGCAAACTGACCTGATTGGACAGAGTTTACAAAGACACACCTGTGTGGCGGAGGTCCCTCTTTCTGCATGTTAGGACAAACCTTCTGTAGGCCTCCATGCTCAAACTGTGGTGAGGCGCAGATCCAGACAAGAGGATGAAATCATGCCTAAAGCGTTGAGTGTTCTAGGAGCACAGTGTGGGACATGGAGGAAGCCTTCGTTGGAGCCGCTGTCCAAGCTGGAACCTCAGTCTCTGTGATGGGTGAGACTTGTCATTTTTGTTGTCGGTATAAAATGTGACCAGTAAGTTTTGTCCTGATGACACACTATGGCCAGAAGTGTCTCCCAAATTCAGAAATTAATCTAATTTGAAACATTTCACATTCTCTCAGCTTTTTAAAGTTTAGTTTAGCCTAGTTTATCTGTTAGATTCACACCATGAAATCAAAGACTGGTGTCTGTCTGAAATAACACTTCTTGTTCCTCCTCCCCTTCTTCTTTGTCCGATTAGTAAATACCATTATAAGAAATAAAAATGCCACATCTTGATGAACACAACTTTAGCCCTGAACTGTAACAAGTGACTGACTGCAGGACTTATTTCACTGCAATGTGGCTAAAAACGAAGCAGTCTAACTTTTAGTTTTATTCTTTCCATCCTTCTTGTTTGTTGTACTTTGTTAGACACCTGTGTAGATTTGGTGGCCGACAGTGAAAGTAGCTTAGCTGCACTGCACATGTAAAACCCAGCACTCAGCCATGTGTAAACCAGAGAAGGGATAAGTAGGCACAAAGAAAATTAATTCAGCATGTTAAAGTGCAGCTGTCTGGTCACCACGGAGCAGGTGCCACCTCCCTCCCCCTTCCCCTCTCTACATATGCACCCCTCCATTTTATCTGGACTGCTATTGAAGCTGTACTTCATCGGACAGAGACAATGAATTTTAGGGTTTAACTGAGTGAATGTCCAGCCCTGCTTCCCCTCATCATCCATTCAACTTTCCCTCCCACTTTTGTTGCACTATACTCCACCCGACTCACTTTGTCCTTCCTTTCTGTCGAGAGGTAAAATACCCTCAGGCCAAAGTGGGCAGCTGTCTGGGGCCCTGTGGTCATGTCCCCCAAATGCATGCACAAAGCTGCACATGCAAACTCAAAGAAGTGCAAAGAAAACCATAAGAGAAAGGGAAAAGCAAAGCACCAAAAGCTGCTACTGGCATTTTAGCACTACAGCGCTGGTCCTCCCTCATGGTTGTTTAAATTATTTATTTTACATTGACCTGTGTACAGTACACTCTTCATGAAGTCCACGATGGTACAACAATGTAGAGTCTTCAAATCAATCAGCACATGATGACCATAAATATAAGCAAGTTTCAAAAGTCTGCTACTTGATTCCTGTGGAAACCAATAACTGCCTGGAACTGCAGGGGAAACGCATCCAAAAATGAAAAATGGTTTTGAAAATGATCTACAAAATTACATCCCTCACCCCCTCCTCACCCATTCCTCCCTTTCCCTGTTCATTTGAGTTTCCTGCCTCTGCCTTTCCTCCTTCAACATGCTTCGTCTATCTATATTCCCTCATTTACTTAGCTTTTGGCCGTTACAAATGTTCTCCATCGTCCTGCCACCTTCACCTCTCTCCCTCTCTGCATCCCTTTTTATATCTGGTTCTTTTCATCTGATACCGCACCCCACCCCTTTCTCTCCCTCCTGCCCCCAGCCGGTGGCGCCCATACACCGACAAGAGCACAGGTTCTCTTGTTGTCAGTCACTTTACCAGCACACAGACGGCAGCGGCAAGAGGAGCGGAGACGGTAATCCCCCCTCCCAGTCCACCCCACCCACGTCCAAAACCCAGAAACCGGAGGCAGGAGGGAAACAAAACCTCGCGGGACACCTGTGCTGCTGGACACCCTCTGTTCAGCTTTATGAAAGATGATTTAAGATCTAAATTCGCACCCAAACTGTGAAAGATGATGGTGAGAAGCGGTGATGATGTAGACGCAGAAACCAGCGGCCAAATCTGCCTGGATTGACGGTGACTGAGCTCTCGGCCGCAGCGCCAGCAGCAACACCAGCAGCAGCAGCATCAGTCGATCGACGGATGGAGATGCGTTGTGAAGGCGGAGGGATGATGATATAGCAGGTGCTGCAGGGTCGTGCCGCATTGCCTGGCCACCGCGAGCGACGCCGGGGACGCGGTGATGCTGTCGTCGTCATTGTGCCACAGAAGAAGAGAGAAGGACGAGAGAGGAGACGCTTTGACATGGAAGGAATCGGCTGTCTGTCGGTTCTGAGCTCAGGCCGCCCTGTGCAGCAGGTTGGATGTACCGCCTGAAGCCTGGGGACCTGATTCATGATATACATGGTGGGAAAATTAGGATAAGGTTGAATTCTTGAAAGTGGAATTGAAATGTTTCCGTGCGCAAAAGTGAATGGCCCAAATGTTGATAATGCATCATAGGAGCATCATAGCAGCAGCTTCTGTTCCAGTTCAGGGTGGATTACGTCTACAGAGCAGCAGGCCTCCATCTGAAGTCCGCTTCTGATCAGGACACCATAGAGAAAGATTAATATACTTCACCCTGTTGCTGGAGGTAGCCATTTATTCTGTCGTTCCACTGGAAGCTGGTGTGGTGTGGTCCCCCGTGGAGGGACCGCTGTTGCAAAGGATGACTCACTTGCAGGCTGGCCTCTCTCCAGAGACCCTGGAGAAGGCCAAGGTGGAGCTGAAAGAAAACCCGGAGACTTTACACCAGGACATCCAGGAGGTCCGGGACATGATCATCACCAGGCCGGACATCGGTTTCCTCAGGACAGATGACGCGTTTATTCTCAGATTCCTCCGGGCGAGGAAATTCAACCACTTCGAGGCGTTCCGGCTGCTGGCACAGTATTTTGAGTACCGACAGCAGAATCTGGACATGTTCAAGAACCTGAAAGCCACCGACCCCGGTATCAAGCAAGCCCTAAAGGACGGTTTCCCCGGTGTGCTCGCCAATCTGGACAGATACGGCAGGAAAATACTGGTCCTGTTCGCAGCCAACTGGGACCAGAGCAGGTAATAAAGAAGCTGAGGGTTGGGGCTGTACAGTGTGTGCTGAGGTTATCTGATCAGACAGACAAAAACAAACGGGACACAGCAGAGAAGAGTCGGTGATTTAAAATCCTTTGTAATGAAGTGGAGTCTGGTTTGAAGAGCTGTCCAATCAGCACCACGCATTCAGTGTTTAGAGAACTGGACGAAATCTGCCCAGTCTTCTCTTTAACTGGTTGTGTTCAGTAAAAGCAGTACCAGGATGGTGCCACAAAGTTAGAAAAGCAGCATTGTCTAAAATATAATGCAGCTGTAGCATCGGGGCTCCTCACTGTATGTACAGCCCAAATCACAAAAAGCAGACTCAACAAAAGTGGACAGGTGACTTTTGGCCATTTAGTCTACTGATTAACAAATAAACCTCCTGCATGTAACAAAAGTAAATGAGATGTTTTTATTTTGAGTCACTTTGATTGGTTTAAGTGTACTTTAAACTCTGTGCTGTGTACTTCAAAGTCTTTGTCACTTTTTGCACTGGTCAGCCCGGTAAAGGAGCTCCACCAAAGAGTTTTCCTTCTTAGCTTCCATTGGATCGTTTTTTTCTGTAGATGCCTAAAGACGATCCACAGGCATTCAGAAAACAATCAAGCACAGATTAGGTCAGAAAAAGCATGTTAACTTGTGTAGCAGGGTCAAAATGAAGGGCTGGGTCACTGTTCTTTCATGTAGTCCAGTGCTGATACTAATTCTGTAAGTGACCACACTGTCAGCAATGACTTGGGTTAAAGGTTAAAGGTAGAAGTAGGGTGATTTTGTTTGGCTTAACTAAGAGACCAGACCTGTGGGTAACCAGAGTTGAGAGGTGTTGACCTTTTCACCTCATCATTCAATGCAGAACGACTGGATTATCCAATATTATAGTGTTGAATGAAAAAATACTGTATATATGATAAAACGAGGATAACACAAACCATGATGAAGTCATCTGCTGTAGCTCTGTCATGATCATCTTACTGACAAACACATTTTCACTCTGTACAACCAGATCATTATGCAACAGAGAGCGATGTGCCAGGTTTTAATTCCAGTCAGTCAGAGCAGCATTTTAACCAGGTGAAGAATTTCTCCTCCATAACTGGAATCATTGAAGTCAGTTTCATGTTGTTTGACAAATTTCAGAAACACTATTAGTGCTACTATTAGACGTAGCACTGCAGGCCCAACGTGTGCTTGCAGTTGGACAGAGCTGGGTCTATTCAACTGGCAGTTAAGCTAATTAAGACAAAAAGGTTTCTCTGGAGGGAGCCAAAGGGTCTCTGGATGAAGAATCGGATGGAGGAAGTGAGCGGAGAAACGAGATAATGAGGGCAGGAGGAAACATGACTGTTGAATCGGAGAGTGAAGTATCAGAGGCACCAGCTGCACGAAAACCCTCAGGGCAGCAAACGGCATGATGACAAACCTAAAACAAAGACCTCCAGCAGATCGTGTCATGATAGAGCAACAACTGATGCTACCGACGCCCTTATTTATTCAAGAATAAATTACACCTAAATGAAGGTTCAGTGAAGTCTGATGACAAACTCTTGTCAACATGACTAGAAGAATGAGATTCCTGTCTTTGGCTGCAGGTTATTATTAATTTCTTGGCTGATTAAACTTCTGGTTTAATCCATTTTGATTAATCGTTCAGTCCATGAAATATCAAAACCCGCTCATCATAATCTCTGACTGTAAGTTAAAGTTCATATTGTTTATCAAACCCAAGAGATGTTTCCTTAGAGTTATATACAGCAGCAAAATATGACAAACTGAGAAGAAAAGTGGCCAAAAGTGACTGATACAATGACTTAAATATCAAAATAGCTGCAGAGATCTTTATCGTATTGGATTTCTGAGGCTGATAATGTTGAGTTTTGAGAATATGAAGAATCCAGGCAGGACTTTTTATAGTTGAACAATAAACTCAGTGGTCTCTGGTTGACAACGTCATAGTGTCATTGTTTCTAAATGGCCTTAGTGTGGACTTCTTTACTGCAATGCACCGCCACAATAAAACTGCACTAGATTAATACTGGCTCCATTTTCCTCAGGTACACATTCGTGGACATACTGAGGGCTATCTTGCTGTCACTGGAGTCCATGATCGAGGATCCGGAGCTGCAGGTCAACGGCTTCATCCTCATCATCGACTGGAGCAACTTCACCTTCAAGCAGGCGTCCAAACTGACTCCCAGCATGCTGCGGCTGGCCATCGAGGGGCTGCAGGTCAGAAGCTTGTTGCTGTGCAAAGTGTCTGACTGTGATACTGGAGACTATGGTTTGCACCCCATGACCCAGACCTCTCCTAAACTTTTGCCAAGTAGTTTTATTTACCTAGATTTAACCGTAACCATAAAGGTGGCTGATCTGATGACATGCACATGCTTTTGGAAGGTGCAGCCAAACAACAAGCACCAGAAAACACATCACTATACATTTTACACATTAGTTATTCTGGAGGTCAATGATAATAATTCTGACAGACTGTACTTGAGCGGAAGTGATTAGTCGGTCAATGTAACTGATTCATTATTTGATAACTAAATGATTTCATCAGGATTTGCTGCTTTAAATATGAGTGAAATATGTAAATGAAGTAGTTTTGGGTTTTGGGACTGTTGGTCGGCCAAAAGGAGCAACCTGAAGAAGCCACCATGATCTCGCTTTTCAGTTTTCTGACATCCAGTAGGATGAAGAATTAATCGTGTCTGTGTCAGTTGGTTGCACTGTACATTTTCTCAGCATTATGTCATCAGCTAGAAATCCTCAGTCTTGTCTCTCAGCAAAGTGCTTTTCTTTTTGCTGTCAGAGCTGAGAGAAAATCAAGAGCTTAGGCTTTACTCAACTCTAAAGTGCTATTTTTCATTTTCAGACTGTGGCAGAACAAACCTCCAGCTCACTCCCCATCAAAATGTTTCACTTAAGAACAAGTCAAGCAGCATGTTAAAGCCGTGAGCCTTTTTTAAACGGCAACAAAAGAGAATAACGACATTTCCATTTTGATTACACAGTGCTGGATGGTTTTTTTTTTCAAGGTTCGTTTGGCAGGTACATGATGCAAAGAAATGGCTTGTTTGTGGTTGTCAGTTTGGTTTTGTCTAATAAGAGCTGTTATTCTATCAGCACTGTTTTTCTCACGTGGTCTAGGTTTGCAGGGAAATGTGTTAATGCTGGTTGGATTGTATTTGTGTGTTCAGGATTTTTCATGGCATGAAAGTGGGTTAGTCGTCAGTTATCAGGAAACCTTTAACATCGTTACTGAAATGAGTTATAGGAGAAGAGGCTCAGTGTTCAGCTGTCCTGAACCTGCCAGGCCTGAGGGGAAAGGCCTGTTTCTGTGTGTGGACGAGGGGCGGGGTTGTTATTGCTTTCTCACCATCCTTGTGAATCATCTGCCAATTTGTGATGGGCTCCATTAGTCAAAGTGAAATCGAAGGGAAAGTGTCTGTAGTGGGAAGTGTTGAGTAAGACGCAGCGCGGTGTAGAAAAATAATCTGATGTGTTAGCGAAGGATGACGAACTGTCAGAGCTGCAGTCTTTAAATATTCAGTGAATTCACCTATACAGCATTTTTGTTACTGCAGTACAGAGCAGGGGCGGCCGTGGCTCAGGAGGTAGAGCTGGTGGCTCGGGTGCCCTTGGATGAGCCACTGAGCTCCGAGCTGCTCCCAGCGGCCGTTCCATTGGTGTGTGAGTGGTTGTGGAAATGCACTGCATACTGCAAGTATAAGTCCATTTGCAAGTATTTTACATCATGCATATTTAAAAAGCTGTTTGCTTCCAGTGGTTTTAAAACGCCAGTGTGCCTACAGTATGTAATATCCACCCATCAGTAGGTTATCCATACCCTCTTATCAAATCTATTTAACACAAATGTGTCTAACTAATCTAGCAGTTTACCACAATGCGATTCTACGAAAGGCCACAAGCAGAGCAGCAGGGCTGCTCTGTGTTCCTGTTGTGAGTTGAGGGCATGTTACAGTTTTTTTCTGTTGCTAACAAGCATTAACCAATACTTAAAATACTTTTTCTAAACTCTTAACACAGCAACACAGTTACATCACACACCTGGCCAAATGGTTCATTTTCGGACCAAAACCACATTTTGTTAAATAAATACAAACTTTACATTTCACAATGCAAAATACCATTTTCTACATATACTAACTTTATCAAAACACAGCAAACCTGACTCATAATTGAGTCGTTTGATCAAAACATTAGCACTAGTTTTCTATCCAACAGGAACATATAGTCAGTCATAGTGCACAGACTGTCAAAATGTAAAAAAGTAATCACTTTACAAAAATGACATTACTTCTCATTGAACTGTATACAATATGAAAACCATCTTTGATATCCAAAAATGTAGAAATACAGTAATTCAGTCAGCCTTACTGTAAACACACTAAAATTGTGTGTGTGGATAAATTTCGTATAGTATATGTACAGTGGAGCCATCAGTACTTTATGGATTATAAAAAAAAGGGCAGAATTGCTGCAGTAAAGGCTTTACGGTATTAGCATTTGCATATTGCTATCAATAATCACAGAAAAAAGCACTTTGCCCTGTGTTTACAACAATAGACAAAAATAAAACAAAATGACAGACCAAAAAGTCCTAATCTACACGATCATCAGCATTTGGCCACATGTTCTCATCAACATCACACCTTATAATGTCTCTTGCTATGCACCTTGGAAAGAAACGTTTAGAATGCCTTATCCACCCCTGGCAATCTTCAGCTGAGATGTCTCTGCAGCCAGCCTCCATTGCATCCAGAAGGGACATTTGATCATGTGGTCAATGATCATAGACTTTCCACCTCCACGCAGACAAAAATTCTTCAATGGGGTTAAGGAATGGAGAGTATGGAGGAAGAAAAAGTGAAATCAATCTCGGATGGGCTGCAAACCAATTTGTGACTGCTTGTGAATGGTGGAATGCTACGTTGTCCCATGCAATAACAAATATTGTCATGTTTCCTCCCACTTGTTCCCTTTCTGCTTCTGGCACCAGTTGTTGATGAAGGTCATCTAAAAACAAAAGAAGGCGCTCTGTGTTGTAGGGACCTATCTGGCTTTTCTGCAGGACCAAACCAGCACTTGAGATTGCAGCGCACATTGTGATATTTGCTCCTCTCTGACAAATTGGAACCAGCTGTTTCCCAAGTAGAACAATAATTCTTATCAGCTCTTTGAGCTGTTGTGGCAAAAGTAGAGGCTTTACATTATATTTAAAGTTTGGATCATTAGGTCTTCAATTCTGTCATGATGTGTTTAAGCATTTGTTAAAGATATTTGAAAGATCCATTATTTTGCTATGGGGTAAGCTTGTGTGAAAAGAAAATGTAAGCATTTTAGAAACGTGTGCATTAACTAAAT